AGAGGAGAGCCCAGCCTCCTGTGACAGCGCTGGCTGTCTCCGCCCCCACACCGCTCTGCTGCACTGTGATAGGCGGCCGAGCGGTGTGGGAGGAAAGACACCGGCCGCTCACAGCGCTCGTCCCGCAGCGCTCGGCCGGCTGTCATTTTCTCTCTGATTCCTTTCATCCCTGCTGGGCACTGCTCTGTGTCCCAGCGGGGATGAAAGGAATCACGGCCGCGCCGACAAAACGGCAAGAAAATGTCACTTTCGGCATTTAGCCGAAAGTGCCATTTTCGGCTGGCGCCCCCCCTTCACTTTTCGCCCGGTGCCCGCGCCCCTGCTGCACCCCCGGTTGTTACGCCACTGGCCCCCAAAGGGCTTAACATTGAGTTTCATCTCAATTGTTTCCTAAGTAACAACTAGTTTTCATCCTGCACCACTGACTAATTTTTAGATTTTAAATACATTTTAAGCAATTTTTAAATAATAATTTTATCTGATTAATTTTGCCTCTTTTATAACTAAGTAACAATATGTAAATATATATCACACGTGTAAATATATTATTAATATTGATTTCAAATCCTAACTCAAATTATCTGAACATGCAATTAGAATTCCTTACCTATATTAACTATAATTTATCAATGTAATTGCAACATAATACAGTATATTATAGACCATTATGAATGTCACCACAAAAACCCATTAATCTGCACCATATGGGGTTATTAGTGGCTTATATAATAAGTTTCCATTGAGAACTTCAGGAAAGGGAGACATCTAATGGCAGTTTTTGTGAATGTGATTCTCCATCTGCTATAAATTGATCCATAGCTGTGACCTGGATAGACCTGCATTCCCCTTGAAAACGTCCTGAGTGATGAAACGTGTCGGGGCGGGCCTATCTAATGTCACATCTAATGCGGAAGTGAGCATAGGAGCTCGTGAGATACCGGCCGTTTTGCTGTCTATATATGAGTTTCTATTTTGTTTTTACCAAATAAACTGTTTATACTACACCATGAGGAGTTCCTTTTGATTTATACCGCATGTGGAACAATACCCTTAACATACGGGAGAAAAAGCTGAAGACTCTCTGATCCATAACCGATGTCAGGCTACTTACTGAGTCCAAAACAATATCTTTGTGGTGAGTGCGCATTGCCCCTGGGGGAATCGTGTGTGACACTGGGAGGATTGCGGAGCACTAGCACTTTACACAATTTTGGATTTTGAGAACGAACTTTGAATTTTATTTTTATTTATTTTTATATTCTCTTTTTTATATTTTTATTCACCATATCACCTTGACCACTCTACAAAGATTTACTTTAATTTGAAGTCACCATTTTATTGGTTAAATATGAAGTCACCATTTTTCACATTATATAAGTTTTAATCTGGATGACTAACTATCCAGTCATATGTTACACCTATTGCAATTTATAGTATATACACTACTCGTGTTAAGGTTTGTTTAACACTGTTAGTACAAATTTAGAAGCACATATGTTAGTATGCACATATGATTTGCACAGCATTTGAGTCTTTTATTAGTAACAACGGGGTATTTAGCGCCGCATAACTACTATTCACAAATGGAACTTTCTTGTCTATATAGTGGCAGCTCTATTATCCTCAGTAGGGAATAATATCCACAAGCGCAGATCACCAAACCCAATACCATTATTTGTATGCCTGCATAATTTCTGGACCAGCATCCACTCCAGCATGTAGATGCTATCCCATGATTATATCTAAGCTAAGATGGCACTGACCTTCTTAAAAAAAAAGAGGCATATTCAGGGGGGAATACTGTGAGATCAGAGAGAAGTAATAAATCCTTACATATTACTAAGCATGTATGCACTTATTATGAAAAAAGTTTATGATTGTTGGTCTATGTTAGGAATTGGTAACATATATTACATTTGTTTGGCTTCAAACTGTCCTTAGGGTTGCACAAAAACACATTTGAACTTTATATATACCATTTATAAATGAAGTAACAAATGTTTTCACATATTTTACTACTTATAATTACATTGTTCCAGCTCGGCCCAATCTAAGTACATATATGTTTTAACCCAGAAGGCCCACAGGGATCCCGTAAAACACGGTAGTGTCTGCACCTACTAAGGCACAGCACCACCAAGCAAGTGACCCTTACTATTTCAACAGCAGAAGGGAAGTTGCTCACCCCAGTGGTTGTACAGGACCCAAAAGGTCGCTGTAAAGCAATGTAGTAGCTGCAGATACTACAGTGTTTTACAAGGTCCCTGTGGCTGTTGAGTCCTTATATGGATGTTTTATCATAACTCCTCACCAGAAGGCCTGAGGGTAAAGGGGATCTATGTCTTAAATCTCCCACCCAGGAGAGGAGATTTTGATAAGATACTCCTGCAGAATGTGGGTATATACGCTAGATACCCTCTTACCCGCTGGCCTGAATAATGAGATGAATCTCAATGTCTTTCTCTAACAGAATTTAATTCTATTTAAAATGATAATATAAATGCCCCTTCTAGAAATATATGCCGATTCAAAAAAATATAACCAAAAATAAACATATCATTTCCTAAATAACCAACGGACAGCTTTTTATAGATACTTAGATAATGTTCAAATAGAAACATCTCTGACGGTATGCATGCTTTTTGATTGAAAAGAAAAGGCAGATTTTGAATGTTTTTTACAGATAACTTTCATAAGCACCCTTTCTTGAAACATACACCCTGGATGCAATCATTGAGCAGGTGTGAAAGGGCTAGTTAAGTATGCCTCACACCTGCCATCCAGAAGGTGCAGACGAAGCTCCGATGGGCGGAGCGAAACGCGTCCACCCTTGAGTGTGTGTTACACATGCTATGTCACCCACACAAACGGCAGCTCCCTCATGGATCATAGAAATTACTTTGTTTCCTGAACAACGATGAGTGAAATTCAAACGTCTGGAAGTCACTAAACACATTGTATTGAAGTACCGAAAAACCCGGAGATATCGGAACAACCAGAGAACAACCAGTTACCGTAAATAGTGCTTACCTAAAGGAAACTCCTTGGTCCCCAAAAAAAGGGGGCCAATAAACGGACTAACCTCGCTGAGGTATTAGAGAAAACCCTGGGATCTGGAAAAGCCACAGACGAATCAATTGCTGGTGATAATGTGGAACAAACCGAACTCCCTGGATTCGAAAAAAGGAGGGGTATGAGACAGCTAACTGTGAGTACGGTCGACCATTATACTAGCTCCATTGGTCCCACACAGGTCTCCCCCTTGAAATAGATCCAACACCAAGAGGAACTTCATTTCACTGGGAAAGTTTGAATGACTTTTTAAAACAAAGTAATTGAGACTTTTCAAAACGAATTCACTCATCGAAAGGGTTGATATATTGAGACCAGAGCATATATATATGATTATAGTGGATTGTTTTTGCCTCTAATTGTACTGATCATAGAGACTTCCTTCTCTTCAATTACAGACAAACAGTCCCTATTTCATTTATATTGGGAGAATTTCCTCTTTAGAAGTTTTGAAGATAGTAATTGCCGTAATTTGTGTGAGTGCATAGTATGTATGGAAGAATGCATGTATGAATGTTATGGACAACGTTGTTTTTTATGTAGATTTTGTGTAGAAATTGAGTAACAGGTGCGAAATATGAGATTTTGTAATTAATAAAGTTTATACTTTTATAAGAAAAAGGTCTTTCACTAATAATAAACATAAATCACATGAATGGCATGATCCAAGATAGAGAAATAAAGAGGTTATAACATGTGGCAAAGAAAAAAAAATGAAAAGCATCACTTACCTGTACATGTAAAATACTTGGACTGTCCCACACTGATTTCAACTTTGCTGAGAGAAATTGAGACTTGCAATATAGCTGCAAAACAGATTGACATTTTTTGGTCACAAAAAAAAATGACCTAGCATATATAACAAAACTTGTAGATAATATTAACACACCTAAAAATAAAATAAATGTAATGTAAAAGTACAAAGGTAACTAGAAAAAAACATTTAAAATCACTTCTGGAAATGCTGTATACACTCAAACGCAGCTATGCAAGGTCATGCCGGAAAATGTGGTGCAATGGGTTAGTAAAACTGTTCTTGATTTTTTCAATAGGTATAGTAGTTTACAGTATATTTAAAACAGTATGCTTTCATTCTTTACTAAAAACCATCAATAAAAATGTCTTCCACTATTTTGATTTTTCCTTCAGATTAGTAAACATGACATTTAAATAAAAATACTAGTTTTAGCAATATTATTTTGCATCCAGTCAAGGGAAATATCCCTTTGTCAATCTCATTTGTTGGCTGAATTTTTTAAGCAGAAACAGTTCTGAGTATTGATTTAGAGACCTGCCAAATAAATATTTCCCAAAAGTAGCTATCATTAAGAGCCCTTGCTTATTTGCAAATTGTCACTAGGGGGATATTAAAACTTCTACTAATCATTTTAATTACAGAAATTAAATAATTTAGCATAACTGCTTATTTGCATATACAATGTATTCTACTTTTGATCTTTTACTTCTCCAAAGAAGGAACGTAACATGTTTTGAATGCTTATACTGTACGGTCTTTTGAGATAGCCCATAAATGGTATCACTTTACCTTCATACCTTCAGTATTAATTGATACTTTGCTTAAAACCTTAAAAGCTTATTCTACTCTTCTTCACATTTTCATAAATTTGACATTTAAAAACAGAATGCTCAGATAAGCGGTGAATCTTATTTATTGTGTGTTTTGCTTTTATATACTTGTTATACTTGATCAAACTTTTATGTATAAGGACTGCCAATTTTTAAACTTTTTTTAGATATCCCTATTAGGCCCCCCGTTCACATTGAGCGATTCGCAAATCGCGTGTTTGACGCGCGATCTGCATTTTGCGCGATATTGCGCGATTTGCCGCGCAATATCGCACAAAAATGCTTGCATCAAAAACCATTGAATCGCGGCATAATCCGCTCCGAAAAGGGTCCTGCTGTAGCGACACACGACCCGCGACAGCAGGACCCTTTGCCCCATTGCAAAGCATTGAAGAGCGATATCGCGCGGTAAATAGCCGCGATATCGCGGGAATTACCGCGCGATAAATCGCTCAATGTGAACGGGGCCTTAAGCTAAATCAAACTAGGTAACTAGGCAAAGATCATTGCTATTGCCTTTAAATATTTTCATTTTAGGCAAATATATTTTTATGTATGCATTTTGCTAGACACACAAGAAAGAAAAACCTTATCGCACGTCAGGTACTTGAAGTCTTTTTCAGAACTTTGAAGACTACAAAATGATTACAGATTTTCACATTAAAATGTTATGTTTTTGACAAACATGAAGTGCAGTCAAGTAGATAATTCCAACATCCCCATTTTCCTTGAATCTAAAAGCATCTTCATTGGCATTTCTGTCAATTTGACAGCCAGTAGAAGAGCCAGGAAAGGTAAGGTAAATAGTGCATAGAATAAGTGATATAGGACAAACCAGGTGTCAATGCTAACAGTAGACTAAAATTAGGAAACATCTGTTAAAATGGTATAATAGGTATAAAGCTAAATACACAGTAAAAATCCACATTTTTGCAATTCTGTTTGGCCAGTCTGCTGACTCTGGGTATGTATGTCACACCGCAGTCTACTTCTTTAAGATTGAGTTTTACTGCTTTCTGGACCACTTCCTTGCTTACTGGAACAAAGTACTGATGTGGATTTATGTATAAAGTGAACACATTTGTGGGTAAAGGAACACTGCTGTACCAGTAGATTGTTTTGTTACCTGGCTAGCTGTGCAGTAAAGCAAAGGATTGACTGCATAGAATTACAAATCTTTTTCCTGGTATAACAGTAAACACTTTTGCATTTGGACTGTGCATTTTGCTGTTTTCCTGGAATTCTGCTTTAAAAACGTATTTATCAAAATACAAACAATTTAGGCACATTCTTTCCACCAGAAATACTCAGCTTCTTAGATATTTATCAAGCTGTGGAATCAATTTTCACAAAGGATAATTTTGATTAGATTGTCTGAATTATCCTACCATATTACGGAAAATAACACCGGGTAACACAATTTACATCCCACTGCAATTTCAAAGAACAAAACAGCAGTCTCTGTGTGAAAACCTCTGTGTGCGTATACACCAGTAAGATAAAATCTGAAATTGTCCTGTAGGCAGAGGAAAGCTTTTTTTTTTGGCTCTAACAATATACTTAACTACACTATTATGAAGCACAGCATATGCAGCATATGCACCCCTGGTCAAATGACTAGTTTCAGTGTTTTGTTAAAAGCTCAAACACATCCAAAACAACATCTGCAGCAAACAAACCAAAATATTACAAATCCCTGCAAATGTTAAAGCACAATTACTTCTTGTTTTCTAAATATAACTTGAAACTTTCTGGCACCCTAAAAATTAGTACCTGATAACATACTCTGTGCTTGAGAAATAATTCCATGGAGAAGTTTATTTCTGCAAGGATTTTCACTCAAAATACCTGTAAATTCAACCCTCTTTACATTTTCCAGTTTGGCAAAGGAAGAACTTTATACAAATTACTTTTACATGGAAAAACATCTGGGAAGACAGAGCCACTTAAAGTGTATATATAACCAGAACTTTTTTTAAATTCTGGATAGAGTGGTGAAGGATTGGAACCCCGGTAATGGTTCATTCACACAGGAGTAGTTGTCCGTGCGTATTCAGACGACCAAATATGCACAGAGCCGCTCTAAACAGTAAAGACAATGCACTTTAATGTGGACTGTGCAGACTTTTGCAGTGGACACGCGGTACAAAAACTGCGTGGCCCGCAAAATAGTCCAAGCATGATTTTTTGACGCATTCCGCACGTTCAAGGCTATATTATAGCTGCAAAGAAGCGGAATACATGCAGATTAAATATTTTAGCACTTGCATTGCTGCTTAGTCTTCCGCACAGAAAACCGCACGTGAAACGCAAACGCTATATGTGAATGGAGCCTTAGGTTTTACTTTGATCTTAGGCTCTGTTGAATAGATTCCTTAACTTCCGATTTGGCAAAAAAAGTTAACCCTAGGACAGAACGTGAAGAGAAATCTCTCTAACAGCAACACATACAAGTAGGGGAGTAGTAAAACTTGACATGGATTCTGACTATCCTTATTTTATCTAAAACAAAAAAAACAAAAAAAACTATTGGATATAGATATACTTTAGGTAGTTTAAATATATACTTTAGGTAGTTTAAAAAATCTCCTTTATATGGAAATTGTAAATTTAAAGTAGGTATTGTGTTTCAGGATATAAACGCCTTCTTCTGAACTAATGGCTAGTGATAACAGGTTACATGTATTTAAACCATTAAACACGTGTTTAAAAGGGCCTTTAAACTTATGAAGGTAATATATGATGGTGTCAGTGGTTATATACTGGCATATTTAGAAGGTTAAAGTGTAGAAAGCAATATTTATGTAATCCAAATTTTACAAAAATATCAATGTAGTTCAATCATGTCTTTTGTTGGGAGAACTGTAACCATACCTCCAATTAGTAACTGATAAAGTAAAGAGTGATGGGGATGTTTTACTCTGCTGCTGAGCTCCATTCATCAATATAACCATAACTTGATTTCTATTAGTCCCTGGCCAAAGGGGTTGCTCCATGGTGCGCTAGTAAGTTGTCCACTTACTGCTAAGTCAATTGTTTAAAGAATTGTTAGTAATTAATTGCTTAAACCGCGCAGAAAACTCTTGAATGTGCTAAAGTATTTGTTCATGTCTTCACTTTATGAATATCAATAAATACAGATAGAGGGTTATTCCCAAAGTTAGCCAAAGGATCAGCCGTAGCTCCGGCTGATCCTTTGGCTAGCTTCGGCTGCTGGAGCCCTTCGGTTCAGTAGCAGCTCAGCCGAACTGAAGGCATATGCTTCGGCTCGACTGAGCCGAAGTGACACCCGAAGCAGGTTACCTGGGCACGCTGAACTGTCATTAAACAATGACAACTGGGCGAAGCCGGCTATGCCTATTTGTTATTCATTGGTCGGGGGCTGCTAGAAGACTCTAGCAGGTCCCGGCCAATAGGAAACAGTTGGGCAGAGTTAGCTGTCACTGCTAACTCCGCCAAATTGTTATTCATTGGCCGGGACCTGCTAGATCCGCCAACAGTTGGGCGGATCTAACTGTCACTGCTAGCTCCGCTCACCCCCCCCTTTTTTAGATAAATCTTTATTTATTTATTTTTTATTTATCCTTTATTTATATTTTTAAACCTTTTTTTCTACTTTTTTCCCCCAACGTTTTTTATTTATTCTCTATTCTACTCAGTATCATGGAGGTACTGAGCAGAATAGCCAAGCCCAATGCCGGAATCCATATGTTGCATAGGCTGAGTCGAATTCCTTCTAAACTTCAGCTCAGCCGAACATGATGATCATGTTCGGCTGAACCGAAGCCAGCGGAAGTAAGCTGATGTACGGCTGATTTCAGCCGATGTATGGCCATACAAGCCTGAAGTGAATAGCCAAACAGCGTTCGGCTCACTTCACTTCGGTGGGTTATTCACTCGGCTATCTTCGGCAGCTTTGTGAATAACCCTTAGTTTTCTTTGATGGACAGTGCAGAGGACATACAAATGCTGCACATATTATATTTGCAGTATGAAGCTACAAAACTACAATTAGTGTTTCTACATTTACTCAGATTCCAAGGAGACATATCTTTATGGGTTTGTGGGGAGGGACCAGGTGAACACTTTGCAAAGTAGCTAACATCAGAAGTGATGTGAAAACTGTGCTACTTGTATTACTAATTATGTATCTGTACAACCGCTTAAAATGCAATATAGCTGCCAAATATTCTAATTACTTATGATACAGTACCAGCCA